TAAATGTAGACACTTTTAAAAGTCCAGATGTGAAATTTCAAGAAAATTTTGAATTCAGTCTGAAGTCAATATTAAGTCAAAAGTTGAACCAACTCTACAAATCATAAATACTATTTTCCTTCTTAAGTTCATTATATTTTCTGAGTCAAGTTACCAACTTAGTTTTCTTTTCTTTCATATTGGTATTTGGAATCATTTTAACATGGTTTAACATCTTTAACTTCTAAGCGTGAACTTATACTGAATATTCTTATTATAATTAAAAATATAAATCCAGAAGCAACACCTCTTCTTTACAGAAGAATTTCAATTAATAAATGTAGAAGGAATGAGAGAAATAGTAAATCACCATTAGAACACCACAGTAGTAACTGCCACAAGCAAGATCTGCCAATGGATAGTAAAATGGCTGGGCAAAGGTTTAAGCAGAAACAGGACATTTGCATAGTCTCAAAGTATCTCCAGCAAATATTTAGTAATTACAAGGAAAACATAGTGAGTTTACAGTAGAGAATCCTAGCAGACACCAGCCGAGCATAGTGATCAAAATTAACAACACCAGAAATACGTTGCATTAGGTATCCCCTGTTTTGATATACTGTCACGGACTAGAGGACACAAAGGAGACATGACAACTAAATGCAAGGTGGCATCCTGGATTGGATCCTGGAATAGTAAAAGGACATTAGTCAAAAGACTAATAAAATCTCTATTTGTTAAATTCTCTACTTCAGTTAATAGTACTGTATCAAGGTTAATTTCTTAATTTTGACAAATGTTCTATAGTTATGCAAGACGTTAACACAAGGAGAAGGTGGTTGGGGGATACATGAGAACTCTGTACTATTTTTACAACTCTTCTTCTGTAAGTCTAGAATTATCTCAGAAACTTTAAAAAAACTGTTTAAAAGCATACACACATATGTATATATGTACATAACATGGGTACATATATCTATAAATCAAGACTTCATGGAAATTGGCATCTTGGGCACTCAGTAAAATAGCAGTGTTCTCTTCTGAATTACTTGTTGTCTCACTGGTAACTTAGCTTTAAACTCCTCCCCCTTCTATAGTTTTAGTCTCAAGTATAATTTTCTAATTTTCATAGAAAAGCCTTTTTAAACGTTCCTACATTAGGCCAAAAATTAAAATCCAAGAATAAATTTATCACTATATTATTTTGCAAAATCACTCATCCCAACCATAAGACCCAGCCAATATTTTTACTACATTTCCTCTCATCTAATATGTTTGCACTGATTTGGTTTTGTTTATGAGGAATGGAGACAGTTGACAGATTTAGTATCACTAATAGGCCTGGCAGTCTAGGAAAAATAATTACCACTTGGATATCTTATGAAGAAACAGCTGTTTTTCTAAGAACAGATACTGTATACTAGAACTCACCTCAGATGTAAAAAGTAAGTTATGTACCTAAGTCTCTTCTATATAACAGCACAGAGCTACCCACCAACGCTAGGTAAGACCCTTTCAATATCCCTTTCATAAATTTGGCTCTAAAATGACTGTTAATAATGGTAAAAACATCTTTTTATGAAACAGGCAATTCTATCTATGCAATTTACTCTAGAGAAATAAAGATAAACATCAAATCTACCTTTAAAAGAAGAAAATAATTAATTTCCCACTCTAGCTATGGCTGATTCATTCCCTGAGCATGAATACCCTTTAACCCTCATTACTTTTCACTATAAACTGAGCTGAAATCTGCTCATAGGGACCTTGACGGTGAAATTAATCTTAGATGGAGAATGGTATTACTAAATAATTATATCTATTACTTTTGTAATCATTATTTCTACTCACTATGGCATTTAATGTTTCATCTGTTATCTATCACAATGCTCTCTATGGAAGCAGCAATAGTGAAAAGATAATTACACTTTGTTAAAAAAAAAACAGGTAATTTTAAAATGGATCTTTATCCAAATACAATAAAAAAGAAAAGTGTCCACAAACATTTTCATTCTATGTCAATGCCATTTCTAAATTCGCCTTCCACTACTACCATGAAAAGCAAAAGTGGTACAAACTCTAACACTCTATACAACACGGAAGACAAATTTACCTCGGGAACTCACTACACATTGCAATATATTCAAGTGGTGAAAAGATATAAATTCATTCAGAATTGCCACACTATCTGGCTGTCAATATAGTCTCTTGAATAATTATATTAAACATATTACTACAAAATGTACCAAGAAGTAGAGAATACTATATTTGTGAACTGCAAGTAACAAAACAAGTCCAAGAATCTAAAGTCTAAACTGTAATTTACACATGAAGGGTATGCTGAAAGCAGTCACAACGTACAAAAATGTGACAAGTCATCCAGATGTTTAAAAAAAAAAAAAGAGAGATTCTATTTGTCTCAGATTATAGCCAGTCTCATCTGGTAGGTTTCTATTAAGCCTGTTACATAAAGTGTATTTCCCTCCTGCTGATAAGAAGCAGCTTACAGAAATCCATAAATTTCTTAAGGAGTGAATCTACTTGGCAATATTGTTAGCTCCATAGTTTCCTATTACATTCATTCGTCTGAAAACTGAAAGCAACTTCATAACTAAAATGTTCTTCCATTCCTTTATCAGTTTTTTCACATTTTAAATCAAAGGAAAGTTGGAATGTATTGCTTCTTGTCATCAACAGGCATTTAGAAAAGAGGGTAATTAACCAAAATCAAGAGTTCTTTGGTCAAGTTAGTAACAGGCTTCCGCTTTGTTCTAAATCCTTTCATAATCCTTTTTTTTCTAATTTTTCCAGTATGGCCTGGATCTTACAAACAGCCTCTTTCCGGGCCTGCCGGACAGAGTCCTGGCCCCCAGTTTCAACTGAATCCAGTTCCAAAAGTTCCTTGGTTAGCATTTCTTCCAGAAGCCAGTATGCTTTGTCTGTCTTTTTTCCTACGAACTCTTCTACTTCTTGTTCAAGATACTGGACCTTCTCCAGCACGTGTATGATTTTTTTAATACTTGGGGGAGTACCTTCATCTGAAGATAAGCACTCTTCAGGAAGATTATTACTTTGATCTTGATTGTTGGGATGTTCGTTGGTGGCATTACCATACAGCTGAGGCTCAGCACTATATTGGACTTGGGAATCCACAAGATCTGAATTATCATTGTTCATCGTTCCCGAGGATTCGTACTGATGGACACTGCAAGGGAAGTTGTGCCGGTTCATGCCTTGATCTGATTGGCTATAGGAGTATGAGGAATCCTTGGAATGGGAGAGCAAAAAGGGGAAAAAAGCTGTTTTAGTGGGAATCCATTAACATCAGATTTGTTAGCCCACATCTTTCACCTGACCTGGAGGGTACATGAAAAGATTCCCCACCAATAAAACTGGACCTCCCTCCTTAATCATTTGAGAAAAATACAGTCCTAAGAAGATAAAAAGGAGTGCCCTGTCGAGCAAAGGGCAGAGAATTCCTGGGGCAGGTCGTCATCACGAGCACCTCACAATCTAACCTCACCACCTCACAATCCATCCAGTGACTTAGTCAATAAGAATTAGATAGTTTTCCCCTAAAGGGTGAAAACCTCAAGACCGATCTTGAAAAGGAACACAGCCACAGCAGACGACTTTCAAGCTATGGTTTTACATACAAGCTAATACTGCAGATATTTCACATTAGCTTTGTCTTCCATCCATAGACTATTTGAGGTAGTAAAATACAATCTTTGTATTTAACGTTCAGGTAAAATTACAACAAACAGAAAATGGGCATTTTCTGTCTTTTAAAATAAAGGATGTGAACCTAAACCTTCTCTAAAAAATAAAGTCTATTGAAAAAAAAGAAAGAATCTGGGCTGAGGTAAAGCAACTTTTTGCAGTTAGCCCCCATTTAACACAGACCAATGCAGAAAACTCCCGTGTGGTACTCTCCTAACTACCCAAACATCAGAGGAACATTTCAAAGCCCTACCTTGGGCTGCTGGAGAGGTGGTGAAGGAGGTGGCTGAGGGGAGCCACTGCTGGGCCATGGTGAAGTACTTTCGGTCATGTACAGATTCCCAGGAGGCGCTGCAGGCGCAGCTGCAGGCCAGGGGTAACGGGCGCTCATTCCGTAAGCCCCAGGAGAAGCCCACGCATCCTCCTGTGGCCGTACGGGTGGTCCCGACTGTGGAACATTATGATTCCCATCCCCATAAGGATAGTGAGGCAGGGTCACTCCAGGGTTCTAGATTGAGAGGAAGAAATATGCTGGTCATTGCTTAAAAAAAAAAACTTAAAGAAGTAATGAAAATATTCTGATATGGGCAGACTCTGAGATGCTTCCTGTCTGCTTAATAGAGTATACTTAGCTGCTACTAGGCTAAATTATAGCAACTCTAATTAATCAGTTGCAATAATTTCTCCAAGCCTTAAAAAACTTGGTTCCAAAGATACCAGGGGTAGATCTGGTGACAATAAAACTAAAAAGGAATAAGGCCTAAAGGTCAATGCAAGAAGCACAGTGTAAGTGTGTCCCATAGACACTATAAACAAATGGACCCATATGCTGTAAGAAAACATAAAGACATAATAGAACTCCTCTGAAAGGGAATAGAGAAATAAACATGGTATCATTCAAAGGATATTAAAAAATATTAACCTAACAGCACTAAAAAAGGCTAAGATAGGCAAGATAGGGAAACTTCCAAGCAACAGCTCTCTAAAGACTTTTTTCGGTATAAAAGTTTTATCATTATGATATCTATAAGGTACCTTCAGCCAAAATCCATTCAGCCGTTACTGCAATAGCTGCTGTAAGAAAGAAGGCCATCAACATAAAAGCAGTCCTCGCCTTCCCAATCTGGAAGTGTTTTCTTAAATCGGCACTAGTGTAAATAGATACCCTTCCACTGTTTACGACTGAAGAGGGACAGACTTTTAATTTTTTCCCAACAGAAAACAACTCACCTGCGAAGCAGGATATCCTGGAACCTGCCCCCTAAGAGGGGGGGCTTCAGTCTGACAGTCCTGTTGGGCATATATCCATCGAGAGACTGGAGTTGGGCTGTCACCAGGTGAACGGTAAGTGCTTGGAACTTCTGTGGAGTAATTGGTCTGAGTATATCCAGGTGCGTAATAAGCCCCAGAGTAAGAGGCAGTATTTGCCCCAGGGCCAGGGGGATACGTTGGACCATATGCTCCATTTGTATAAGAATTCAAACTCTGAAAAAAAAAACAAAAAACAAAGTTGGGAGAAAAAAAGTGAATAGATGGAAGAGCTGAAATGCCCTGACTTAATGCCCAACCTTGAAAACTTTGGGAAGAAAAGAGATGTGAACTACTCAAGCAACCTCTGAAGCGTTCTTCCTCTCATCTGCTATAACCATATGCCAATCTCTTGAACTCAGGCAATACCTGTAGAGTCTCTGTTGTAACAATGGGAAAGTGTATTGTGATGATGTAGTGATGGCCTCAGAACATGGTTCTCGCATGTTTCCTTAAGTACAGCTAACAATTGCACGCAAAAGCAGAGGGGGGCTTGTACCCAGAGACTGGGGAGAGGATTCTGGGAAATCTGGAAGCATGGATAGAGAAAGGAGAAAATACCATGATATAACAGAAAAAAAAAAAAATCACAGAGACAGACCTAGCTCTGCCATAGGCTTTGTATTTAACTGCTCTTAGCTTCAGTTTCTCCATCAAGAAGATCATAAACTTATCTTGCAGGGTTATGGTGAAAATTAAATAAGATGACATATACAAAAGGCTTAGCATAGTGTCTGGCACATAGTATGCTCAATAAATGGTAATTATTTATATGATCACTGTTGTTAATATTATCATGGCAGGGTCAAGAAATGAACCCAGATCTAACTCCAAAGTCCATGTTCTTTTCATCATACCACTGCTCTGCAACCCAAGTAATACCAACAACAGACAGCAGAGATAAATTCCTCATATATTGCTCACTGTAGTTGTGAATCACCTACTAAGACTATAATTGACACTCAGAATCCTCAATTTAATAATCCAAACAAGATTTTTTTTAAAGCTTAATGCTAAATTTAAATGATTTCCTTAATGTTTTCTGTTAATTTCTACTTTAGCTTTTTTTTTTGGAGACAGGGTCTTGTTCTGTTCCCTGGGCTGAAGTGCAGTGGCATGATCATGGCTCACTGCAACCTCAAACTCCTAGGCTCAATCCTCCTGCCTCAGCTTCCCAGGCAGCCAGGACTACAGGCACACGCCACTACATCCAGCTAATTTTTCTTACTTTTTGTAAAGATGGGATCTTGCTGTGTTGTCCAGGCTGGTCTCAAACTCCTGGCCTCAAGCAATCCTCCTGCCTCAGCCTCCCAAAATGCTGGGATTACAAGTATGAGCCACCATGCCAGGCTTAGCTTTTAGTAAATGGTAAAATAGTAAATAGTAAATACAAAGAATCAAGTTTTCTTGTACTCATCTCTGTCTCTAAAACTATATGATCTTTTCCACTTTAAGTACAAGAATATACGTGACCAAAGAATTCCATGCATGGTCAGGTGCAATGAAAGAGCCAGCAATGCATTCCAGAGCAGAACAGCAATGAATAATTTCTTTGTTAAAACTAAGAGTCTGTTAAGATCTCCGGCCTAAACAAAGAACTCCTTAATACAACACACACAGTTGGAGACTTGATAAAACATCATGTGACTTTTTGTACTGTTATTCAGCTTCTAGAAATCCTTCCTGAGGAAATGACTCAACTAGAGAATAAGTCATAGGCATGAAGTTATTCATCACAGCATTATTTATAATCGCACAAAATTGTAAACAACCTAAAAATCCTGTACTAATGGAATGATTAAGTAGATTAAGGACTATTCATTGAAGGCATTTTATTCGGTCTTAAAAATTTATTTTTAGAACTGACCAGATATTTAATGATTTTAAATAACTAGGGTTGGCTGGGCGCGGTGGCTCACGCCTGTAATCCTAGCACTCTGGAAGGCTGAGGCAGGCGGATTGTTTGAGGTCAAGAGTGTGAGACCAGCCTGAAAAAGAGCAAGACCCCGTCTCTACTAAAAATGGAAAGAAATTATCTGGACAACTAAAAATATATATATAAAAAAATTAGCTGGGCATGGTGGCGCATGCCTGTAGTCCCACCTACTCGGGAGGCTGAGGCAGAAGGATCACTTGAGCCCAGGAGTCTGAGGTTCCTGTGAGCTAGGCTGACGCCACAGCACTCTAGCCCGGGCAACAGAGTGAGACTCTCTGTCTCAAAAAAAAAAATTATTAAAAAAAAAAAAAAAAGAATTAGGGTTTCTTTTTTTTTAAGTTTTAATAATGACATTGTGGTATGTTTTCAAAACTTCCTTATATTTTAAAGACACATGCTTAGATATTTACAAGTGATATATATGATGTCTGGAATTGCTTCAAAATACTCCAAGAATAAAAACAAGATGGCCACATACTGATACTCAAAGAAGCCGACAGATGGGTACGTGGTAGTTTATCATGCTATTCTCACTACTTTTATGTTTGAAAATGTCCGTAATTCCTGGAATTACTTCCTGGTTTTGAGATGTCTTCATGAGTTCATAGCTTCTTTCCCCAAACAACCACTATGTCAATAGACCACAAAACAGCAACATGCATGTTTACAAAAGAACATGGAGTCAGAAGGTTATATATCAGCCTTGCAGTTGCTAAAGAGGTTTGCTAAGGATGAGCTAATGATCCTATTTCAAAAATGCCTCAAAGTTTTTAAGTCTTCATCTGAAAAGTAGCTTGTGTGAAAGTTGCCGAGGCCAAGATGCAGTCGCTTACGACAGACCCAGGGCAAGGCGGAACCCAGAGGTCATGAAGGAGGGGTCTCCTGTGCACACGTCTGAAATAAGTACGATCACAAGGACTTTCTAAAAACCCATGTGAAATCCCCGTATGCTCTGTTCATCTTGCTTGTCCTACACATACGTGTGTAAGAGGACTTATCACAAAAAATTCCTCAAGACTGAAGCATTTCAGACAAGCCACCCTCATAAGAACATTTGCTTAGCAACAGCTGTTTCCACCAATGAGTTAACATCAGCTCCTACAACAGGCCCCTGTGACCAATGATGTTTGTTTCAAAACAGCTTACGTGGACTTCTCCTTTTTCTCTTGAAAAGTTTCCCCTTACCACATCATCTCTGGATGCACCAATGATTCGTCATAACATGCTCATCCTGGATTATAATTCCCTGTTTATTCCCAAACAAATTCCTTTCTTTGGAGAGCCCCTCTCTTGTTATTTTAGGTTTACACTTGGAGCACAGCAAAGAAAATAGAGGAGTTCCTTGCCCCACTTCAGAGCCTTGATACAAAGAAAGAAAATGCTTCTGGGGCTTCAGAAGACAGATTTCCATCGCCTACAGAAGTCCGTGATGGAAATGCTGGAGTTAAGAGCAAATAAGAAACAACTCAACTGAGTTTGAAGAATTCAGAGAAAACCTCATGAAATTCATCAACAGTCTGATGAGACAACATCTTCTGCCTCCAGAGATGCAGCCTCTGAGATTGTGAATGTCAGTGCTGCTCACACCCTACTCCATAAACCACCCTCCATGTGCCTCAAAGCTTTATTTCCAATATTGCCCAGATACATGCACAGCTCATCAACTGCACCTAGAGCACAGCAAGCTAAGCAGCTGTGCAGACTGGACAGATGCCTTAGCATCATTAACAGCTTCTTAAAAAATGGATGTAAATTCTACACTCTCAGAAAAAAAATGCAACAAATTATACATTCTTGGTTTAATAGAGCTGTTTCTGAATTAGAATTTTTAAGATTTATAAAACCTATCAAACAGAATGACCACGTGCCAAGGCTAACACAAGCATGCAGCTAGAAGGCAAAACAGGTGATATTATCAAATTTTTTAAAAAGGAAACCAATCATATCTACATATCACTATAGGAGTCTATTGTGGTTAGAAGATAAATATATAATCTCCATGTGATGTTTCACCAGAAACTACACACATGCTAATCCCAAACAGGTATATGTCTAGATACCTTTGGGTTATTTTAAAATCCAGAAACTTGTATGTTGTATCTAAAAGCTCTCTCATATTATTACTGTTGCTATTAAAAAGTTATTACTAAATTATGAGTAAATCTTGAGTTTATGTAATATATAAATGTAATAAATTCTTTTATCTAAGGGGGAAATATAAGAAAAATCAATATTTATCAGTAAGATCAATCAGTGAAATCAGAAAAATTAACATTACTGAGAGAACTTGTAACTAATGATTTTAAGGAGTTTCTCTCCCTCTTATATTAACTGTAAAAGTAATGCATGCTACTCCTCAAATTGACCTATACACAATACCAATGAAAATCCCAGCCACCCTTTTGCAGAAATTGACAAGTTGATCCTAAAATTCATATGGAAATGCAAGGGACCAAGAATTGCCAAAACAATCTTCAAAAAGAAAGTTGGAGAACTCACAGTTCCTGATTTCAAATTTTCTACAAAGCTACAATAATCAAAACAGTTTGGTACTGGCTCAAGGACAGACATATAGATCAACGGAACAGAATTGAGAGTCTGGAAATAAACTCGTACATTTAAGATTTTCAAGAAGGGTACCAAGACAATTCAATGGAGAAAGCATAGTTTTTTTCAACAGATGGTTCTAAGACATGTGGCTATTTACGTGGAAAAAAATGAAGTTGGACCCTACTTCACACTGTATTACAAAAATTAACTTACAATGGATCACAGACCTAAATGTGAGCATTCAAACTATTCCTAACATTCTTAGAAGAAAATACAGAAATAAATCTTTGTGTCCTTTGGTTAGTCAAAGCCTTCTTATTTTTTATTTTTATTTTTTTAGAGACAGGGTCTTGCTCTGTTGCCCAAGCCAGAGTGCAGTGGTGTGATCATAGCTCACTATAACCTTGAACTCCTGGGCTCAAGGGATCCTCCTGCCTCAACCTCCTAAGTAGCTGGGACAACAGTACCACCATGCCCAACTAATTTTTTCAAGTTTTTTTTTTTTTTTTAGAGATGGGGTCTTAATGTGTTGCCCAGGCTGGTCTCAAACTCCTGGCCTCAAGTGAACCTCCTGCCTTGGCCTCCCAAAGTGCTGGGATTACAGGCATGAGTCACTGCGCCTGGTTGTCAAAGCCTTCTTAGATAAGACCTCAAAAACAAGAGCAAGAAAAGATAAAACAGATAAATTAGACTTTATCAAAACTAAAAACTTTTGTGCTTCAAAGGGCATCAAGAGAGTGAAAGGACAATATCCACAGAATGGGAGAAAATGTTTGCAAATCATATCCAGTCATGCATCATATAATGATGTTTCAGTCAATGACAGACTGTGTATAGGATGATGGTCCCATAAGATTATAATGGAGCTGAAAAATTCCTATCAGCTAATGATGTCATATATGTCATAATATGGTAGTGCAAGGCATTACTCACATGTTTGTGATGATGCTGGTGTAAACAAACCTACTGTGCTGCCAGCCACATAAAAGTCTAGTATATATAATTATATACAATACGCAATTCTTGATAATGATAATGTTAATGACTTGATAATGACTATGTTACTTACTGGTTTATGTATTTACTATACTATACTTTTTATGGTTATTTTAAGAGTATACTCCTATTTATTTAAAAAAAAAAAAAAGCATTAACTGTAAAACAGCCTCAGGCAGATCCTTGAGGAAATATTCCAGAACCAGGATTATCACAGGAGATGACAGCTCCATGTGTGTTACTGCCCCTGAAGGCCTTCCAGGGGGAGAAGATGCAGAGATGGAAGGCAGTGATACTGATGACCCTGGCCTGTGTAGGCCTAGGCTAATGTGCATTTATGTCTTAGTTTTTAATAAAAAACTTAAAAAAAAAAAAGTAAATAGAAACAAGTTTATAGAATAAGGATACAAAGAACGAAAGTATTTTTATACAGCTGTACAATGTGTTTATGTTTTAAGCTAAGTATTATTTATTACGAAAGAGTCAAAAGTTAAAAGCTTATAGAGTAAAAAATTTACAGTAAGCTAAAGTTATTATTGAAGAAAGAAAAGTATTGTTTTATAAATTTAGTATAGACTAAATGTACAGTGTTTATAAAGTCTACAGTACTGCACAGTAATTTCCTAGGCCTTCACATTCACTCACCACTCACTGACTCACCCAGGAGCAACTTCTAGTCCTGCAAGCTCCATTCATGGGAAGTGCCCTTATAGAGGTGTACCATTTTTTATCTCTTATACCGTATTTCCAATGTACCTTCTCTATGTTTAGATGTGTATAGATACACAAATACTTACTGTGTTACAGTTGCCTACAGTACTTAGTAATTTGCTGTGCAGGTTTGTAGCTCAGGAGTATTAGGCTATACCATATAGCCTAGGTGTGCCGTAGGCTATCCCATGTCAGTTTGTGTAAATGCCTGCTATGACATCCTCACGACAACAAAATTACCTAACAATTCATTCTCAGAAATGTATCCCCATCTTTAAGCGATGCATGACTGTATTTGATAAGAGACTTGTATCTAGAAGTCTTAAAGAAATCTTCTTGTATAAAGAAGGCTTAAAACTGAACAATAGGCTGGGCGCGGTGGCTCACGCCTGTAATCCTAGCACTCTGGGAGGCGGGCGCATTGTTTGATCTCAGGAGTTCAGAACCAGCCTGAGCAAGAGCGAGACCCCGTCTCTACTAAAAATAGGAAGAAATTAATCGGACAACTAAAAATAAATAGAAAAAACTAGCCGGGCATGGTGGTGCATGCCTGTAGTCCCAGCTACTTGGGAGGCTGAGGCAGAAGGATTGCTTGAGCCCAGGAGTGTGAGGTTGCTGTGAGCTAGGCTGACGCCACGGCACTCACTCTAGCCAAGGCAAAAGAGTGAGACTCTGCCTCAAAAAAAAAACAAAAAAAAACTGAACAATAAAAAGACAAATAACCCAACTTAAAAGTGGGCAAAGGTTCTGAATAGACATTTCTCCAAACAAGATATACAAATGGCTAACAAGCACATGAAAATATGCTCAACATCATTAGTCATCACAGAACTGCAAATCAAAACCACAACGAGATACTACCTCACACCTACTATTCTAAGATGGCTATAATGTTTTTTTAAAAAGAAAAATAACAAGCATTGGCAAGGATATGGAGAAATTAAAACCCTCGTATATTGCTGATGGGAATATAAAATGGTGCGGTTGCTTTGGAAAACAGTTTGACAGTTCCTCAAAATGTTAAACATAGGGTTACCATATGACCCAGCAATTCCACTTCTAAATATATACCCAAAAGTACTGAAAACATTATTTCCGCATAAAAATTAGTACATGAATGTTTGTAGCAGCATTATTCATAACAGCCAAAAGAAGCAGCTACCCAAATATCTATCAATTGATGAATGAATAAATTAAATGTAGTATATCCTCATAACATGGATGAACCTTAAAACACTATGCTAAGTGAAAGACACAAGAAACAGAGGGCCACATATTGCATGATTCCATATAAAATGTCCAGAACAGACAAATCCATAGAGCTAGATAGTTGATTAGAGGGGAAGACAAACAAATGAGGTGGTAAGTACAGAGTTTCTCTTTGGTGTGATGAAAATGTTCTAGAATTAGATAGTAAATAACAGTTGCACAACTTTGTGAAAATACTAAAAATCACTGAATTGTATGCTTAAAAGGATCAATTTTATGGTATGTGGCCAAACCACAAGCATGCAACATTTAGTGATAACAATGTCCATTTCTCATTTCAGTCACAGGAACAAGGCTGACACAAGTAAAATAGAAATTTGCAATAAGCAGTAACATGGTCTTTATTTTGCATTCCATTATCTTGGATCAACCTCATCCAAAAGTTCATATATACATGATCATTACAAAAAATCAATTATTTTTATATTTTCCTAAGTAAACAAGCAAATCTTCCTCTTTCAATAAAAAATTCTTTTGGCTCAAAATCAATCTTAAAAGATTATGATAAAAAATCTTAAAAAATTGATGATAAAAAAAGAACAAAGTCGTTTATTTTAATTGAATTAATTATTCAACCCCATAAAGAAATTTATTTCCATATTTCAGCCTCCATATCACTAGTAAATTAAAATAGAATTGAACATAGATTTGACTATTTGAAATCATCAGGAGAATTATATTAGTATTCTTTACAGTGATCTTAAAATTTAATTCTGCAGAGAACATCAGTTTAGAGAGAATTCTAACCTGGATCTAAAATTCTATGGATTCATTTGAAAGCTGCTTAAATGCAGCTGCTTTAAAGCTGTATATATTGCAATCATATTTTTAAAAAATTATTTGCCTACAGAAATATGGTATCTAGATAGAAAAAATAACAGAAAGAATACATAGATGTGACAATTATTGCTTTGTTAAGGTTGCAAGGTTATGAGTGACTAACCTTTAAACATTTCCTCATTAGTACAACCATTTTGAAAAGTAATTTAGCTGTATCTAATGAAGATGTATACACAAAACCCAGCAATTCCATACCCCAGAGAAATCTTGTCTCATAGACGTACAATAGAAAAGTGAAAATCAATGTTGAGCAAAATAAGCTGCAGGAGGGTGTTAATATGAAATTACTCATATCTCATTTAGAAACATGTTAAGGATTACTGTATAAAGTTTATGGATACATACGCAAGTAGTAAAAGCGTAAGAACGCATATGGGATAAATATAACTTCAGAAAATGGAAAGAAGTGTCATATGGGGCTTCAATTGTTTGTTCTTTTAAAAAATCTGAAACAAATGTGGCAAACAAAAATTGACAAAGCCAGTTGCTACATTAAAAATGTACATATTTCCTGTACTCTTTTTGTATACTTGAAATGTTTAAAGTTAAATATTTGTCAAAAGACTGTAAGTGGCTGTTTGAGTTGCTCCTGCCATATCCTTAGATCTAATCTGTGCTACCTTATTAACTCACGGCAGGCTTCTTGAATGACTTCATTTCAGATTTAGTTAATTTCTCCCCCAAATGCATGTCATGTGTTCTCAATAGGCTGTATTGCCAGCAATCAATAAATGAACACACGTTAAATAAATATTTGTCAAAAGAAGTCAAATTTTAAAAAATAAGAACATTTTATGTTTGTTGTTTCCAGATTCTGAGAAATAATCTATTATGCATCAAGCTATAAGTAATATTTGTCTAGATATTATCATCTCTCTAAGCTAAAAACACTGAGATTGATGGAGCTCATTAAATTAAAAAAAAAAAAACCACATCACTACTATGAAATCACCACAGGTTCTAAAAATAAATCAATTCATTAAGAAAAAAATTCAGAAAGTCTCTGTCCATTTTAAACCATACCTGGCCTTGCAATTCTGGTCTTACAGGATATGTACTTGGGTAGGGAGCCCTAGGTCGTGCAGCAGAATTCCAATAGTTAGAATTGTAGCTAGGATATGGTGGCTGCTCCTAAGAGAAAAAGAAAAATAAATTCACTTTTAACAACATTCTCATATAATTTTGAGACAGATTGATAAAGACAGGTTATAAGGATCAAAATAAAAGAGCAACAGACAAAAAGTAATAGAACTCCACTATAAAACCACTCATTAAATTGATATAGATATATTACATGGTTAATCAAACACTCTAGAACATATTATTGTTGACTATCTAGTAAAAGCCTGTTCTTACGCATTGTGCCAATGCCACGATACCAAAAGATATATAAAGGAATTCCACTATGTCAAGATGATTAGCAAAACCAGAGATACTAGATCACCTTTATCTGTCTCCAATCATTAACACTCATCACCACTAATTTAATGAGTGCAACAAACGAGTTCTTTGCCACTGTTAAGAAGAGTATTTACCTAATAATTTTTGAATGTGAAGATATTACACTAAAGTTTACATCAAACACATACATCTTCAATATTCAAATTCTTTGCCTTGCCACACTCTAGTTTTTTCATATTCCTCGACTCTCTGCTATAGCTAAACTTTTTACTGGCAGCCTATGATCTCAGTGTCAGAAATTGATATAGAACAATTACCATTCCAACCGGAAAATCTAGCTACGACGATAATCTCTTCAGCCTTTCTCTTCAATTCCAAAAACTAATACAATGATTTGCAATAAGCCAATAAACTTTGAAAAGACACTAGATTGACTCAAAACTTTTTAGAGTCTGATTTAATACATACATTTGTATTCTATGAGTTATTTTGCTTTGAACTATATAGGTTAAGTATAGTGTTAAGCTTGAACAGGATCTTTGAATTGTTTTCCAAAACTTCAAATATCGTTTCATAAAGAAATTCACTCTGCCGGGCACAGTGGCTCATGCCTGTAATCCTAGCACTTTGGGAGACCAAGGTGGGAGGATCACTTGAGCCTAGCAGTTGGAGACCATCCTGAGCAACACAGTGAGATTCCATCTTTACAAAGAAATTTTTTAAACAATTAGCTGGGTGTGGTGGCATGCTCCTATAGTCCCAGCTTCTTGGGATGCTGAGGCCGGAGTATCGCTTGAACCAAGCAGTTTGATGTTGCAGAGAGCTATGATCAGGCCACTGCACTCTAGCCTGGGCAACAGAGTGAGACTTTATCTCCAAAAAAATGAATAAATAAATAAATTGACTGGCAGTTGTAATTACTGAGAGATTAATTATCACTATCTTAACTGCACTACTTACCAGTTTCATAATACTTTGTTCTCAAACCATGTAATTATTCTATATTGCCATTACATGAGCTGAGCAAGTACTATCTCCTTTACAGTACAGCATATAGAAACTAGAGGATAGCAGAATAGTTGTTTTATTTATTTATTTATTTTTAAAGACAGAGTCTTGCTATGTTGCTCAGGCTGGTCTCAAACTCCTGGCCTCAAGCACCACCCGCCCCAGCCTCCTAAAATGCTGGGATTACAGGTGTGAGCCACCACGCCTGGCCTGTTGTTTTTTTTTAATGTTACAAACTTCAAATCCTAACTACTAACTTTCTCAATCAGGTAAACTCCCCTAATTAATGTCCTCCCTTTCTTCTCTTGGTTTAGGGGTGAGCTTTTGGCCAATTGATTTCTCGCCACCAAGAATTTGAATCTTGGGCAGAGTCAAAAAGATAAGGGTTGAACCACTCCTCCCACCCAGCAGTGCTCAACCAATACCTAAATCCCCACAGCTACTTTGGTTTCTGTCCTTTCCTGCTGATCGCTGAGGTCCCACATTTTTACTGCCTCCCCAACTCTCCCATCCTCCACACCACCCACATCCTCACATCCTTCCTTACTCAGCTCCCACTCAGTAACCTGCCACTCTTTCCTTCAGATATACGTACCCTGCAAAAACCCAGCCCAGTTTAAACCCAATTATCCACTGACTCCACCTGTAAATACTGGCAGAGAAAACACAACAAATTCTCTTTAAATTCATGACCATAAATCTCAAGTAGGCACTCAGCACTGCCTAACAATTGTCCTATACTTACTTCCTTAGTATGGTCATCTTCTCACTCTCTAGAACAACTATTTCACTCTTCTTCTCCCTCAAATCTCCAAGATTCTCTTATCCCACCCCTCATTTTTCAACTGTTAACTTTATCTCATATTTCACTTTTTAAAAAAAGAAGCAGTCAGACACGAGCTCTGTCTTCCTATGTACTAAATCTACTAATTTACTCATATCTGTTACTGTCTTCTCAGAAAGCACAAATGAAGTGTCCCTGATCCTATTAAAGGCCAATCCCTCCACTTAGCTCTGGACCACAGGCATGTGCCACCATGCCCGGCTAATTTTTTTTTTTATATATATTTTTAGTTGTCCAATTAATTTCCTTCTAATTTTAGTAGAGACGGGGTCTCGCTCTTGCTCAGGCCGGTTTTGAACTCCTGAGCTCAAACAATCCGCCTGCCTCGGCCTCCCAGAGAGCTAGGATTACAGGCGTGAGCCACCGCGCGGGGCCTAAAGCCTTTCTTAAATATTGTCTTTGTGCTGGCAAAGCTCAGGATTGGTCCCTGAACAACATGTATTCCTCAGTCATTTGAGCACTCAGCTCCAAGACCATGGAGCCAAATTCTTTTTGTCTATCTATTTAGCACAAGCTAGGATGGTGAATGTCTTTCCTGTCCCTGGAGGACCACAGAGAAGCAGGGTATGACAGTCAGTCTTTACTGACAAATTTTGAATGATACTCAAAATGTTCTGATGAGAAATGAGATCACTCAGTGTCTGCGGCCAGTATTTTTCAACCCAGGGCAGGTTCCTGATATTGCTGCCATGGGCTGCTGCTGCTGCTGCTGCTTAAGCAATGAGGTCACCATGGCAGGGGGATGAGGGTAACTGCTGTGATCAGCACGTTCCCAGGCTCCTGCACAGGCAACCAGCCACAATCTCATTTTGCACTTCTTTTGTTAAATTTATTCCTAAGTATTTTATTCTTTTTTTTTACTTTATTTTTTATTTTTTATTTCTATTTTATTCTTTCTGAAGTTATTGTAGATAGAATTGTTTTGTTAATTTCATTTTTGAATTTTTCATCACTAGTGTAGAGAAAATCAAATGATTTTTGTACATTAACCTTGTATTCCATAACCTTCCTGAACTCATTTATTACTCTACCATCCAAGTAATAACCAGGCCCACCCACCTTAGCTCAGATGAGATCAGGCGTGTTCAGGGTGATATGGCCGTAGACGCTTTTATGATTTCCAATAGTTTTTTGGTGGATTCCTTAGAATTTGCTATATATAAAACCATGTCATTTGTGAACAGAGATGGTTTTACTATTTCCTGTCCAATTTCAACGGCTTTTTATTTTTTTCTTGCTTAACTAGGTTTCTAGCTAGAAGCTCCAGTACAATATTAAATAGACGTGGGAAGAACAGACATCCTTGTCGTGTTCCTGCTATTAGAGAGAAAACGCCCAGTCTTTAATCATAAGTATGAGTTTGGACATGGATGGTTCACAGATGCCCTTTATCAGGTTGAGGGAGTTTCCTTGTATTACTAGCTTATACAGAGTTTTTATTACAAAAGGGTACTAGATTTTGTCAAATGCTTTTCCTACATCTGTTAAGATAATCAAGGATTTTTAAAACTCAATTTATACGTGTTTTACATTAATTTTTGGATGTTAAACCAATCTTATATTCCTGGGATAAATCCCACTTGGTCATGCTATATAATTCTTTTCATATGTTGCTGGATTCAGTATGCTAGTGTTTTGTTGAGGATTTTTTATCCATATTTATAAGAAATACTGGCATATAGTTTTCTTCTCTTACGATGTCTTTGGTTTTCATATCAGAGTAATATGGTTTATAGAATAAGTTGAGAAGTGATCTGTTCTCTTCTATTTTTAGAAGAGTTTGTGAAGAATTGGTATCAATTCTTTAAATGTTTAGTAGAATTCACTACTGAAGCTATCTGAGCTTAGGCTTTTTTTGTGGATAGTTTTTGTTGTTGTTATTAACTAATTCAATCTCTTTACTTGGTATAGGTCTATTCAGATTTTCTATTTCTTCAGTCAGTTTTGGAAGTTTGCATCTTTCTAATAATTTGTTCATTTCATCTAAGTTACCTAATTACTGGTATATAATTATTCATGGTATTTCATTACAATCCTTTTTATTTCTGAAAGGTCAGTAATAATATCCCTTCTTTCATTCCTGATTCTAATAATTGAGTCTTCTTTTTTTTCCTGAATCTAGCTAAAGGTTCATCAGTTTTGTTGATCTTCTGAAAGAAATAGACTTTAGTTGCACTGATTTCTTCTATTCTCTATTACATTAACTTCCACTCTGATCATTTACCACTATAAATTTCCCTCTAAGTACTACTTTAGCTGCATCTCATAAGTTCTGGTAGATTTATAATATTTTCATTTTCATTCATCACAAAGTTTTTTTATTTTCCTTTCTTTTTTGAGGCAGGGTCTCCTTCTATTTTCTGGGCTTACCATAGGCATCATCATAGCTCACAGCAACCTCAAACTCCCGGGCTCGAGTGATCCTTCTGCCTCAGCCTCCTGATTAGCTGGGACTGTAGGTGTGTGCCACCATGTAAGACTAATTTATTTTTATTTTTTGTAGATATAGAGTCTTACTATGTTGCCCAGGCTGGTCTTGAACTCTTGGCCAGCGATCCTCCCACCCTGGCCTCTCAAAGTGCCAGGATTACAGGTGTGAGCCACCACACCCGGCCTATTTTCCTTTTAATATCTTCTTCAATCATTCATTATTTAGGAGTGTTATTTAATTTCCACATATTTGTGAGTTTCCCAAAGTTTTTCCTTCTGTTAATTTCTAATTTCATTATATTATGGTTAGAAAACATACTTTGTATTATGTTTATCCTTTTAAATGTATTAAGATTTGTTTTATGGCCTAGTATATGGCCTAGAACTTCTCAGGTTCTATGTGCACTTGAGAAGAATGTATATAGTAGTGCTCCCTTATACTCAGGGG